TTTTTTTTTTTTTTTTTTTCAATATTTCAAGGGGGAGGAGATTTTCCACAAGAAAAGGTTGTTTTCATGTTTGGGATTCAGGAAAGCATCCAACGGAGTGGAAGCAGCATGAAGGAAGAGCCGCTGGGCAGCGGCATGAACGCGGTGCGGACGTGGATGCAGGGCGCCGGGGTGCTGGACGCCAACACAGCGGCGCAGAGGTGGGTACCGCGCGGGGACCGCGGCGGAGGAGGCGAGCCGCGAGCGGGAGAGCCAGGAGTAGGAGGCGGCGGTGGCTGCTCGGGGCCGGGCCGAGTTCGTGCGTCCGCGCCCACCGCTCCGCTCCCCTCGCAGCCCGGGCTCTGAGCTTCAGGGCAGCGCTGCCATCGTCGCCTGCGGCTGGAGATCCGGGAGCTGCCTGCGACAAGCCCACGCTTCGCCGGCACTTTTCCCTGCCTCGTCTGTGGCTGTTTTCATTTTGTTTTACTCAGAAGAGGCGTCTCATCAGCATGATGTTAAATATCTGTGTTTTTATGTGATTGCTCTTTCTTTTCCGTCCGTCTTTTCTTTTTATTTCTTTATCCCTCCCTCCGTCCCTTCCTTCTTCCCTTCCTTCTTTTTCTCCTTCGTTCTTCCTTTTTCTTTGTTTACCTTCCTTCCTTCTTTTTCTTTACTTCTCCCTCTTCTCTCCTTCCCTCCTTCCCTCTCTTCATCTTTCTTCCCTCTCCCTTCCCTTGTCCTCTTTCTCCTCTTCTCTTTTAGTGTCTCTTCTATCCCCGTTTCTCCCCCGTGTCTTCTCTTATTTCTGCTACCTGGCTTTCCCTCCTTCTCTCTCTAGATCTGTTTTTCTCAGTCTGCCCAGAGAACAGTAGTTACCGACTCTAATTCTGACATTTCCCAAAGTCTTCTTTCCTCCCTGTCACCTCTACTTCTTCCGGCCCCTGTCCTATTCTCAGCTCCCTGGATGCGAAGCTGTGTGGCCTGAAGGCACTACCCTTGGAGGTTGACCTAGGGGAACTTTTCCTGGGCACTCCCAGCACTCTTTCCGGGGGCTCCTGGCCCCAGGTGAGATTTTTATTTCCAGGCCACCAGCTGGGCTTGGGGGAGTGGGAGACCTGGAGGCCCCAGGCCCTATCGGACTCAGAAAGTGCGGAAAAGGAAGGAGGAAGATGACAAATTACACATCCCCATCTTTCAGGGGCTGGGTACAAGTGTCCCCAATGCTTTTCCAGCTCAGCTGAGCATAAGGATGGGAGTGGTTGGTAGTGAGAGTGAGCTGGGTAGCTGGGTTGGAAGCGAAAGTGTGTGTGTGTGTGCTACTGATATGTGCACACCCGCTCCTGTGCTGGACAGATTGGGCTGTCAATGGCTGCCTGGCGCCCCTGGCACCCCAGTTTCCAGTCCCTGGGCGCGCTCAGCCATCAGCCCTAGTCCTTCAGATTTCTGGAATCAGTATGGAGGTTTCTGTGAAACAGCGAAACTTTGTCCGCTCCTGTCTTTCCAAAACACTTCTAGTCCCTTTTCCGACAGCGACCACCTCCGCCAGCTCTGAGTCTCACCCTTGGACCCTTACTTTCCACAAGCTTTATCTGGGAGGATAATGTGGCTACCAGAGGCTGGGCACCCGCGGCCGGCAGGGACGCAGGGAGGTTTCCTGGAGGGTAATTCCTGTAGCGAGAAGACAAATGTGTTCTTCACTTCCTACCTGTCCACAGAGCTGAGACAGGAGATTCAAGGGGGTGGCAGGAACCAATTCCCTAAGCTTTCTCCTTTCTTTAAGTTGTAAGATGAGCTCGCTTCCACGAACGCGGGTTCATCTCATCCACCGTCATTTTCCTTCCTCCCCATACAGCGCTGGTCAGGTCAGAGTTAATGCTTACAGCGTTTTCTCTCGTGCACAAATGCCCCCCAAAACTTTTACACCTCTTTGGAGAGTTTGAGGGGAGCGCCTTGTAATCTCCGTGGAGGCCAGGACACGCGGAGACAAGCTCGACCGGTCGCCAACTGGGCCCCGGGCACCTGTGGGGGAGTGGAGGGCTACTACTGAACGTTTTTAGCGGTGTTATGGGGTTCACGCGTGTATGCGGGGAGCCTGGGGACGCGGATCGGTGCCTGGCTTAGCCGTCTAACTCTGCGTCTTTGGCCGCAGCGGGGTGGGTCTGGCCCGGGCTCACTTTGAGAAGCAGCCGCCTTCCAATCTGCGGAAATCCAACTTCTTCCACTTCGTCCTGGCCCTCTACGACAGACAGGGTCAGCCCGTGGAGATCGAGAGGACAGCCTTTGTGGGGTTCGTGGAGAAGGAAAAAGTAAGTGGGCGCAGCGCCGCCGCCCCTCGCCCGAGAGCGGGGAACGAGCCCCTTTGCAAGGGTGAAGCATCCATAACACACTCCCGCGCGAGTTCCCCCAAGCCTCTTCCTGCCCTGGGCGAACCCGGGCTTCCCGCCCACGGCTCCCGGCTCTGGTAAAGTTCGCACGGAGCCCCCAGAGCTAGAGAGAGGCGAGCCCGGCTCCGCGCTCGTGAGCTAAGGGCGCCTGGGATTAACCCGCCTTTGGCCTCCGGGACACGCGCGGCCCCTGCCTCTGCATGGCCAGGCTCGAGGCCCCAGGCCTTGGGATGGGAAGCTGTCCTGCGTGCCCATCGGAGTTTTCTGCAGGGGAGAGGGCACAATTGGGGGGTCTGAGATTGGCGGGAAGAACAGATTTTGGGGTAGTATCTGCCACTTTGGGGCCTGGCTAGCCCCCGGGCCGGGTGTCACCACTTGGGGAAAGTTGCCTCGAAGTTGGTTTACTTGCTCACGCAGACCTTTCTCCTCTGTCTTTTGTGTCTTCGCGCCCTGCTGCAACCCAGGAAGCCAACAGCGAAAAGACCAATAACGGGATTCACTACCGGCTGCAGCTCCTCTACAGCAATGGTGAGGCTCCGTTTGCGCCCCCACCCTAGGGCTCCAAGTCGGGGCCGAGGGCACGGGAGCTCCAGGGGAATGAGAACCTCAGCGAAGCTTAGAGTCGATCATCCTCGGGGTGAACCGACCTCTCCCAAGTTTCGCCCAGGAAGTTTCACTTGAGGAAGCCCCGAGTGCCCGAGGGCGGCTGTGTCGCGCCCGCACATACCTGGGACCAGGTGGGGCACCCTGGCCTTTGAAGTCATTCTCTGCCCTTCCTGAGATCTGTTTCCTCAGCACGGCCCAGAGTCCAGGCCCAAGACCTCTTAGACTCAGAGGGCAGAGAGTGGTCATGGCCTTGATGGCTCCTGGAAAGTGCAGAGGGGCTCCCACCAAGTAAGAGAGCTTAACGAGGTGGAGATTCTACCCAATTCACAGCTGCGGAGGGCTAGCTTCCAAGAGCCAGCTCTTGGGAGAGAGTTAGGCCAGAGACCCTTCTGTGGACCTTTGGGAGGGGGTTATTTAGAGTCCCCTCCCTCCTTGCTTTTTCTTTTCTTTCGATCTTTTTTTTTTTTTGGCAGCTGATCCCCCTCTCACTCAATTCTCCTTCATTCGTCCTTTTTTTCCCCCCCTAGGGATAAGAACGGAGCAAGATTTCTACGTGCGCCTCATTGACTCCATGACAAAACAAGTAAGTTTCTTAATTCCGTGCCACAGTGACTCGAGGGCCACGAAGTTCGTGGAAATCACGAAGCGGGCTGCTCGCCATCTCCAGCGGCTGGATGGGCCCTAGCGAGGGAGCTGGGACTCGAACTCTACCAGACAAGGCGGACTTACGATCTTGCTGGCAGCACAGGTTTTCCCAGCGCCAAGGACCATTCTTGAACTTGCAACAGCCTCGTGGGGAAGATAGCTCGACGGCTTAGTCCCTTCAAGGGAAACTCAGGCTTTTTGAATTAAGATCGCTGGGTGCTGAGCTGGAAGAATAGGAGCTGAACATCCTTTGACCCGGCTGGGGAGCCCCGGGGGGGGGGGGGCAAAAGGTGCCCAGGGACCTTGGTGCAGAGTGGGCTGAACCTCTGAAACCTAAGCCAGACAAGCCTCCCTTGGGGAGGCAGAGGATGGAGGGAGTTGGGGGCAAAGACAGCTTCCCCAAGAATGACGTGATGGACTGAGAGCGCTGATGATCCAGTCCACAGAATTTTTTTTTTTTTTTTTTTTTTTAAGGGGGGGGGGGGATGGGGTTGGAAAAGGCAGCCACAATTGTTAGAGGATATTTTGCAAAATCCTCATGCTTTTGCTTCAAGTTTGGCAGGAAGCCAGGCAGCATGAGTGAGCTCGCGGTCTTAAAGGTACATGGACGGCATTTTCTTAAGCTCCCAACACGCGGATGTCAAGCAGTATACATTAAGGTTGAGTTATGGTTTAAAAGATACAATTATGAGCCGAGTCAGAAAAGACTCCTGAAGTTTTAATGAGGCACAGAAACTTTTTAAAAAAAATTTCAAGAAAAAGTTTAGTTTCAGAATTAAGTAGCTGGTTAAGTAGCTGGACTTAGTAGCAGAAAAAAAGAAGACAGCTTTATTGGGTGGGGGAAAGAAATCAGAACAAAGAGAAAACTTTCCTTTTGTGTACCAACCACCAATTTAGTAACACAGTTAAAACTTGGTTGGTTGAGATTTTATTATATTCCCCCCCACACTTTTTTTAAAGGGAAATTATATTTTTTTCATAGACACAGTGTTGGAAAGTTTCACATCAGAGTTTACATGAATATTTTAAAATATTATTTTCAGAAAAGCCATGACTTAAATATGTTTTACAAAATGCACACTGATAAGCTTTTGGGATTTTAAAAATCTACTCATGAAGAACCAATTTAATAACAGCTGACTTTTATTATTACTCTCATATTTCATTGTGACCCACATAGAAAACAGAAGGATCTGAAACATATTTTAAAAAATAATAAGCAAATATCTATTGAAATTTCATACATGTTATTTGCCTAAAATATTTAGCTTTCCTTTCTTGAAGAGCTATGCATTTCTTAGCTGATTATTCAGGGTAAATCCACATTTATACTTTGAGGCTCGGTCTTATTTACCTTAATATATTTGATCATTTTACATATGATAATATTCTTTCATTGGACACTATATTTTATTATTTTTTTTCTTGACAAACACAAAAGGTTGTTTTCAGTAAACATTTTTAAAAAATATATCAAAACAAAAATATCTGAAGAGGAGGTTTTTTTTTTTTTTTTTTTAACTTCTCTTAGATACTCTGGATATCCTTTCCTGCCATTCTCATTTCAAGGGGAGAAAAAGGGTGGGAGGGAGAATGGGAAAGCATGTACTCTAATACATATCCCATACATATTTGTTAGGATTTAATTTTTAAAAGATAAAAAAAAAGTTTTGGTATATTATGCCAATCTGCTTGTGCAACATCAAATGCATAATGTATTAAATCATAGGTGGCACTATGAAACAAATAATTGTAAGGAGGGTAAAATTTGGACATATTTAAAGTGATTGACTTTTCTCTGATTTAAGCCTCCCCTAAACCTTATTTGAGTCCTCCCTAAACAAAAAGCACTATCAAGAATTGATTTTTCCCTTGTGAAATGAATTGGATCTACACACTCTTATATGAAAATGCTGGGAGAGTAATCATTTGATTTAAAAAAAAAATGCATCAAAAATCATTTTATTAAAAAGGTCATAGAGTTTAAGAAAACCATAGCTTAAGGCATTCTTTGACTGCTTGGTATTATCATAAATTCTATCAGTTGAGAGAGAGAAAGAAAAGAACAAGAAGAAGATACAGTTTGTTTTTAATAATAGCAGGTATGAGGAAGTCATTTGTCTTTATATGACATCTCACTGAAAGTGAAAACTATAAATGTATTCAATTATATATTTTGGTGGGGAGTGACCTGAAAAAGATTTAACTAATTATCTCAATTTAGTCTAAAAATATCAAGAAAAAGATTTTTCAGGCATACCTGTATGCTTTCACAATCATTGCCTAAATAATTACCTTCTCAGTAGCTCTCACTCTGAAAGGCCCATCATTTGATTGCTTGTTCTTTGATTATGTATGGTAAGAATTTTGAAAGTAGGTGGTTTCTTATGTATACAATTAATACAGTAGCCTCCAAAAAGAAGATGACCTTAAAGAAGCATAACTTTCCCTAACTGTGACATAAAAATTTATATTTAAGGCTTGACATAAGTTGACTGATTAAATGGTTACATTTTTCCCCATCTGTAATTCTTTCAGATCGACTCAGGAATTTGATATTTAGAATGCAGAATGGAATAAATTCAGTAATATGATGAGTTCTAATAACATCATAAATTATGGTGGGAATACCTAGCCACTGTCCAAGTGTCCTTTCTTACATGCTCTGTTTATCCTTACAACCTCTTTCATATCAGAAATGTAGTTTTATGTGCCATATCCTTGACCCACAAGTTAGGGTTAAAACTCAGAGAAAATTGATGGCAAACAAACTCTAAAACTAGCTGTGCATTCTACATTTTCATAGAATGCTCCTGATCTTGGGTGGGGTTAATGGCTTTGAGACCAAACAGAAATGTATTCAATCAACCAAGATGTGTTGGCATGACATAGTATTTCACACCTTTTCACAGTGTCTCATTAGATTATTTTGGGTAACAGCTCTAAATATTGGACCCCACCAAGAAAGACCAAGCTTCATTAGAAGTGAATGAGTACAGATCTGAGCCCCTTAACTCTATGCCTTTCTTGTAGGACACATAGAATATAATAACATTTAAAAAATTTGTCCACCAACTAGAAAATAAGAGGCTTGCTTTTGGGAAGGGTTGTTCAAAACCAAGTTTAGCAGAACTAAAAATAGGTTGTTTTCGTGTCACTGCTGTTTTTGATATTCCATTAGTAAGCATGCAAAAAGCCCTGTAGGATCCAGAAGTTTATGACTGTTGCATCCAGAAACAGTATCTACTGTAGAAGCTCAAGTGGACTGGGTGGAGGAGGTCTGAGATTTATTATGCCTCATTTCAGATTTTCAAGTAGTATTTGAAATATGATTACATTATGCAATTGCTTCAGTGAGTTATGTGTCTTTAAATAGTTAAAACAAAACAAAACAAAAACAACCTTTTAACTTATCTCCCTTCCCACTATCTTACTTTTAAAAAAAGTGACATATTATGACTCAAAGACAGGGTTCCAAATTCCATAAGGTTATCCAAAACAAAACATTCCCTGCCCCTTAACAAAAGTTTTTTTGGAAAGGAGAAAATAGTAGCTGCACAGCTGTGCATGCAGGTTTGCAGGTAGATGATGGGGTAAGGGGACCTGAAAAGTCCCAGCATAGTGGGAATCCAAGGTACAATAATCAGAAGTGCTGTCAAATTCCTCTTCCCAGCTAGACATCTTTATCTATTTGTTTTGATGTTCCCGGTATTTTAAGCTATTGATGCAAGTGCATTTTTTCCTATTGATTGTTTCATTATATCCTGCATGGCTACGCAGATTTGATTAACAACTCTTTCAGTTCATGGTTCTTCATTGGTAGATAAACACATTTTTAGTATATCAATAAGTTCCAAAGGAATTCACCGGACCAGCAGAGAGTTTCTTTCATATATTTGGGGAAATGAACAAACAACAAACGACAGGGCAAGTTTATAGGCAGGAGTCCTATTTTAGCAGCTTTCTGTCTCCTTTGGTAACATGTCAAAAATGCAGGTGATTTAAATTTCCTTGCACATAGAGGAATGAAGAAGTTTGGAATTTTTATGCATGATCAGGACCTGTGTTTGGGAAAATGTAAACTCATCACAGTGGAAAATGTGTTGTTTGGAGTCTGGGGGTGAAAACAAAGCTGATGGTTTTGGAGAGATTGCCGGAGCCAGATGGCCTAGTACTTCCCCAGTCTGGCGGTCCAACTGCTCCCTCCTGGATAATATACAGCCATTTGTTCGGGGATATTTACGCTAGAGCTGTTTCCATGTGAATGTTTGAATAGCATTAAAAAGGAACATATTAGTAGTGATGCATTTATCAAACTTGTATGACTATACCAATAGTATGTTTTCTCTGTCTTTACCTATATTACTGAAGGATGGAGGAGTGTTTTTGGACACTGATGAATTGTATACAGAGTTGTTGAGCAAGAATGACTTGGGCTTAGTGAGTAATTAAAATAAGCAAGCATTTAGAATCAAACTAATGCAAATAATGGTAGCCCCTAATTCGAAGCACTGTTGTGAGAATGAAATGAATTGATACATGTGAAGTGCTTTGAACAGTGACTGGCACATATTAAGTGCTTAATAAATTAGCCGCTTTTATTATTTTATTATTAAATATTATTATTACCCCATTGGGTTGACAAAGCCAATTGTATCTATTAATATAGATGTAAATATAGTTACCATATGGGTGAAATGTCTTTATTACTGCAAGAAGAAGAAATATCATATGGGAATGTTAGAATGATTTAGTTTTTATCTTGGTGTTTGAATAGTATCAGGGATTTTAGTTCCTTGAAACATAAAAGATTCATTCTAAAGCTAAGAGCTCTTGGTACACGTTCTTTTTTTTAAATTCAAGGCTGTGATGTAACTGAACAGCATACCGAATATGATATCATTCCTTCGCGACTTTCCCAATTCAGTTCTGAAAACG